CAGCGGCGGCACAAAGGGCGCATCGGCGGCGGAGGAGGAAATTGAGCAGGCCCGCGGCGGACCCCCCCTTGGCAATGGCGCACGAGCAAGGCATGTTGTCCTCGAGCGAAATCACCTTACTCCTATAGAAACCCTGAACCTGCACCAACCTCTCCAGCGCCAAAACGACGGCCCTCATCCCCCCCACGGTGCTCCTCCCACCTCCACATACCAGCAGCGACTGGGATCCAGGAACGGGGTGCCTCCCAGATCTCCTTCGGGACCGAGCTGACGGGGAGGTCGGGGTGGAGCGAGCGGGCGGCCTTGTCGAGAACGCGCTTCTCCTGGCCCAAGCGAGCGAGAGCGAAACCAGGCCTAGTCCCGGCCTCCCAGAGCAAGCGGGCCTCGCGGCCAAAAATCACGGTGGCGACGATACCGTAGCCCCCGCAAGCCAGACCGTTCGGCCCCTCGGCATCCGTAACCAGGACCACCTCCGAGATGGGCGCCCACGCAGAGCCCCATGAGCCCACACCTCATAACCTTCCACTCCCTCAGAGCGCCGGGCCGCCATTTTCGGAGCCCTCGGCGCCCCTGGAGCCCTTCATTCTGCTTAGCGAACTGGAAGATATGCTGAGGAGCCGCAAGCCAATGCCGAGCCAGCAGCGCCGCCCAGACCCAGACTCCCAGCAGCGATGATACGGCATCCAGAGACACCCAGGAGCGACTTTCCAGGTACAGCGCGGCCTCGCACAGGGCCGCGGCCTTCGGGGCAGGTAGCCTAAGTCGGGCAGGTTCGGCTCGATCTCATAGCCTGCAACCTTGTCCATTTCCTTGGATTCCCGGCGGTCGGGAACTTTAAAGCCCAACTCCACTAGGTCGTCCGCGGCACAATGCATGACAACGTCCGCGGCCCCCTTGGAGCCGACGTGGTCGCTGCCGCCCGTCATCACCAGGCCGTCGTCGATATGGAGGTAAAAGCCTACATCCCCTTTGCCCAAGACACTGTTTTTTTTCATATTGACGCTTGTCTCGTTGAGTATGTGGAGCCCCCGCTCGCGCTGGGAACTGCTCGGCCTAGACCACTGTAAAAGCCTAGCAGCACGACGCGGGGGCAAAACAGCAGCGAGCGGTTCTGACATCTCCCGGCGCCTCCTGACGAAACTCCGTATCAAACAAAAGCCCAGGAAGCGGCTGAAGGCCGTCGGGCACGTAGCCAAACGTGCGGTCGCAAAGTCTGGCCGCCCCCCCTCCCCCGCCATCCGCCCGGTGCCCCTGTAATGTTGGTGCTTCCCATCACGTCGGCACCCCCCTCCCAAAGCCCATCGGCCGCGCCCGAAAGCGTCGTCGCCTTGCGCGCCAGGCCGCCGTACACGCACTGATCAAGACTCACGCGCACGGCCGACGTGCGCCCCCCCATGGCACACATCACCTCCGCGCTGTAAACTGAGGGATATGGGTCCTCGCCAGGGTCTTCGGGATGCTCGTGAATATGCACCCCTCCCTGGGCGGAGACTCCTTCGCAAATCGACAGAAAGTTCAGGGTCAGGAGGTTGGGCCCCCGGACGCGCCCCGCCTCAGCTTCCGTGAGCCCCGAGCCAGGGCGCCCCCAAACGTATTTGCCTCGGAAACGCAGCGGCCTCGGAAACGCATTTGCCGCGGAAACTCGACGAAGCGGGACCGCGGCCAGGTCGAGCACGGAGGCCCTCCGACTATGCCGTCGATATACCCCCGAGCCACCAGGCCCCATAGCTTCTGGAAGGTCTCCGGAATAGCGAGGCCCCAGTTGGGGCCCAGCTCGAGGTCACACGAGAGCACCAGGATCAAGGTTATGCATGGCCCCCAGGGTGCGAAGCCACTCATCTAGATCACCGGGCCGCCTCGGGCCAGCGAACACGTGCACGACGACGACGACACCCTTCCCAGACGCCTTAACTTCCGTGACCTTCTGAACCCAACCGTCCGCAGTGAACCCCGCACCTACGTCCCCGACCTTCTTACGTTTGTTCCCCTGGGCCCAATCCTCGTCGCCCACCCAAAAACTGGCCCTCCTCATTGGCGTCGAAATCCTCCTCCGAGAAGCCCCGCCAAAGGCCACTGCTACACAGGTCATGTTAGTATTCATAAGGATGTGGACGCTGCGCGAGCCCCTCATGACCAGACGTTCCCACATAGGAAATATCCAATCCCCAGGCTGGGCCCGCCCCCGAACGCCCCAAGGAAGAGCGGCCCAGATCAGGCCGGCTCTAATTGGGGGCGCAGCTTGCCACGCCCACATGCACTCAGGCACCTCCACAGACGCAAAGGCATTGCTCTCGTCGAAGGCCGACGCGCTGGCGAAATCGCTCGGCACGCGCGCGCTGGCGAGGGCTGCCCCGCCGTGGATACCGTGCCCCCCCCCGAGGGCGTGCATCATGGAACATATAATTAGAGGCCACCATCATGATAATCTTACATTGCTTAGTGGGGTCCTTTTTGGGCACAACTGAGAAACCTGCTACAGCTCGGACGTCTTCTCGAAAACCAAACTTCCATGGATTAAGGGGCCATGTCCCGCCTCAGGAAATATCTGGCGTACTCCTCCTCAGATCCTACTACGAAACCGTACTGCTTCTCAAGCTCCCGGAAAATTGTCTGCGAACGGACCTCAAGGGCCGCCACTACTCGGGCCTCCTTTGAGTAGACGGCCGCCTCTTCTGGACTCAGGGCGGACAGCATGGGCGCCGCTCTGGGATCCAGGGGCTCATCCACAGCATCAGCTCGCAGGACCTCGCGCGCGGTCTTGCGCCTCTGGGCTCCTGCACGCGATAGAGATGCCGACTTCGCCAACTTCTCGACGGCTTGGGCGCCTGTCAGGCCGCAGCCCCGGCGCGCCTCACGGAGACGCACTGCCTCACGTAGAGCCAGCTGCTGGATCTGCTTCCTTGTGTGAGCTCTCGGCAGTTTCCCCGACGCATGGCATTCAACGCAGTGAAGTACTCGTTGGCCAGTGTCATCAGGGCGAACTTCTTGTGAAAACGTTGACGGAGGCGATTGGGCGCGCTGTCGGGCCGCGTCGGAGCCTCCACCAATGGGATCGGGTACAATCGGGCGCCAGGCGCCGCGTGCAGCAGATCGCGCAGCCCTTGGGTCTCGTCCAGCACCTGCTTCTGGACCCAGCGGCCGCGCTCAATGCCTCGGCTGGCCACTGCCATCCCAGCCGAGGCCGCCCTCTGTCACTCAGGCTTCTTCACCCCCCCTTGAGGGGGGCCCTTCTTGGCATTGTCCTTCTCGCTCTTGTCGCCCTTGCCGCCCCTCCGCCTCAGGTCGGCGGCCACCCTCTCGTTTCTCTGGTGCTCTGCATTGCTGTGGGCGGTGGCGGCCTGTACCAACCAGCTCGGTGCGACATCCGTCTGGCTGCCTGGGGGGGGCACACCCAGCATGTGGAGCGCTGCCGTGCGATCCCCGGACCGACTCTCGCACATGTACGCCGCCAGGCGGCGGACAGAAATCTCCATGAGGTCGCTGGTGCTCAGGAACTTATAAGGTCATCCTCGGTCCTGCAATCTCGCACTGCAAAGTCCAAAGTAGAAGCCAAAGTCCATAAATCTGTCCACGCGGGCGAAGTGCGGCTGCCGTCGTATCGAGCCGACAACCAATCCCTCGTAGGTGTGCAGCCCTCAGCTCTCATCGCTCGGTAGATCTCGGCGCCCGCCCTCTGCATGTCGGGCGGGAGGCCGGCTCCCCACCTGGTCTCCTGGCTGCCTCCTGCCGCCGACGCTAGCCCTCCTAGGCCCAGCGGGTCGCCCGCTGTGCCGCCGAAAGCGGGAGCCGCGCTGGAGGCCAGGGCCTCCAGGCCCCGGGCCAGGTCGGCCACCCTCGGCGCGGTGACGGTGCCCACGCCCACGTAGCCGCACCCGCGCAGGAGCTGCACCACGGTCGCGTCGAGCTGGCCGCCCTGCTCGAGCCTCACCACGGAGTCCCAGAACTTCGTGGCCCAGTAGGGGTCCGCGTGGGCAGTGGCGCTGGTCGTCGTCAAGTAGTCCTTCACTAGCGCGGCGCCTTGCTGGCGGCCCCGCTCTCGGTAGGCCGATGGACGGCCTCGGCTCCACCTGCGGCCCCTGTCACACCTGCCCAGCCCGCCAAGTCGCCCAGGGCACTCGCCCCCGCTGGCGCGTAGCCGCTCGCGGCGACGCCGCTGGGCGCGAGGGCGGGTGGCGGGGCTGGAGCGGCCCCCGGAATCCCGAACGGCACGGCGGCGGGCGGCCCCTCGGGCCCCGCGTCGGGCGCTGCATCACCAGGGTCACCGCCTGGCGCCATTCCCGACGCCCTCATCAGCGCGCGCATCTGCTCGAGCTCCTCCTTCAGCTGCGCCACCTCGCTGTCGGGCGGAGTGGGACTGGCTCGCCGTGGAAGCCACTGCCAGGTCAGGCAAGCCGTAGAGCCCAGGCCCGTGATCAGGCTCGCTGCAGCCTAGCGCTGTCCGCCACGTGGAGGCCCCTCGCGTCAGCAAGAAGCTCAGGGCGCTCAAGGTGGCCAGCACCCCGCACAGCCTCAGGCGGGTGCTCCAGGACCAAGGCGGGGGCGCCCCCGCTTCGGGGGCGGGCGTCATGGCACGTGACGTCGGGCGCAGTAAGGTAAAACGTGATCCCGCGTGCTTGAGCATACGAGGCGACGGTGCTCTCTATGCTCCCTCCCCATGCTCCAACGTGCTCACCGAAAACTACCATTCACGAGCTCATTAAACCACTTCGATTTCCTGTCGAAAACATAAGGAAAGCCTGAGGCAAGCTGCGACACACTTAAGGAACGCGGAGCCCCTCCCCAACGAAAAGGGTTCCTTCTGCAGGGCCCCGACTGTATCCCCAACTGGGGTGGTAATTTGGTGGGGGTCTCGAAGGGGATGGGGATGGGGTTGGGGATCGTTTAAAGGATACCGACTTTCGTCCGACCCGAGTGGAGAAAGAAGGACAGTGGACACCGAGGACTCTCCGCCGGCCAGCCCCGCCGTGGATCGCGGCGCGAGCGAAGGCGGGCGCTGGCGCCTGCGCAGGCGCGGCCGCGTAGCCCGGTGCCATGACACCTGCAAGGTACCAACGGGAGGTGCGGTCGTCGTCGTGGACGTCGGAGTCCACAGCCCAGCAGATTCTACCAGGAAGCTGGAAGCAAGCGTGGATGGATGCACACGTGAAGGGCCAACGTGTGCAGACACACGAGGACGGAGCGCTGGACGGACATGCGGCCACATGTGTATCCGGCTCTCGCCCAGGCCTGAAAGATGTATATCCAGCTTGCTGGTACGTGTGAGGTGCACCCGTCGAGCGGTCATAATTGGACTCCGAGTCTGGCTCGTAATTCCAGCAGGCGCATACCTATGGAACAAGTGTGTGGAACATCTCTTGAGCTAAGGTCCTCGTCGTCGTCGCCTCCCTCCTCCTCCTCTTCCACCTCTGCCTTTCGTAGGCCCCAGGGCACAGAAGGGAGGGAGGAGGAAGAGAAGCAGGAAGAGAAAGAGCAGGAGGAAGACACATAAGAGAAGAAGGACCAGTGCAAACCCAAGACCCATCATCGATGTTGGAATTTGCCAGCCCAACGGGTCAGAGGCGTGCTAAGATCTCAGGTAACTGGATATGCATATTCTAGTTCGCGCGCGCGGGTCCGCCCCTGGGGGTCCCTGGACGAAAAAGTAACCCTTCGGAACCCTGGCAAGGTCCCGGCAGACTCGGGTCAGAGATGGTTTTGCTCCTGGGGGCGGTTTTCGGGACCCTCCAGATCACCCCAGGAGCAGCCCAAGGAACCTCAAGGCAACTACAAAAGGACCCACGAATCGGAATCACGGCCCAAGAGCGCTCCAAGACGCCCAAGATGGCCCCAAGACGGCCCAAGAGGCCCCAAAGAAGCCCCAAGAGCGCTCCAAGAGAACCCCAAAGAGGGCCAACAGAAGCACAAATCATTATTGTTCCTTGTGTTTTTCTATGTGCTTCGCGTTCTTGCGTTTTCGTCTTCGTGCTTCCGACGCTCTAAGATGGCCCCAAAGGCCCCCAAGAACGCCCCAAGACGAGGCCCCCAAGAGGGCCCCAAGACGGTCAAAAGAGTCCCAAACCGGCCCTAGAAGCGCCCAAACATTGCCCAAGAGGGCCCCAAGACGGCCCCAAGAAGGGAAACACGGACCACCAATTGGAGCCTTCTGGCCCTAGAGGGCTCCGGGAGGCGCCCACACGAGGCCCCCAAGAGAGCCCAGCTGGCCCCCTGGAGGCCTCACGAGGCCCCCGGGAGGCCCAAAAATCCGCCGATCCGGCGAGTGAGTTTGTGAGAGCGTGGGCTTGAGCTCGCTCAAGCTTCGCTCTGGAGAGGGGGGGGGACGAATTCCAACGGAATTCAATGAACGCACAAGCTCTGGAGCGGGCGGGACGCTACGCTCTGGAGAGGGGGGGGGGACGAATTCCAACAGAATTCACTGAAAGCACAAACTCTGGAGAGGGGGGGGGGACGAATTCCAACGGAATTCAATGAACGCACAAGCTCTGGAGAGGGGGGGGGACGCTTCGCTCTGGAGAGGGGGGGGGACGAATTCCAACGGAATTCACTGAACGCACAAACTCTGGAGAGCGGGGGAACGAATTCTAACGGAATTCGCTGAACGCACAAGCCCCCGGGGGGGGGGGGGGGGGGGGGGGAATTCCAACGGAATTCACTGAACGCACAAGCTCTGGAGAGGGAGATCGGGGGGGGGGACGCTTCGCTCTGGAGAGGGGGGGGGACGAATTCCAACGGAATTCACTGAACGCACAAGCCCCCCCGCCTCCCACACATACCCACTTCCTCTCTCCGAGAGGCATCTTCTTCTCTGACCCCCCCCCGTCCCCGACAGCCCCCCCCAAATGGACCCCCCCCCTTCGTGTGAGTTTGTGAGAGCGTGGGCTTGAGCTCGCTCAAGCTTCGCTCTGGAGAGGGGGGGGGGACGAATCCAACGGAATTCACTGAACGCACAAGCTCCCCCGCCTCCCCCACACACACACACACACACACACACACACACACACACACACACACACACTCACTCTCTACACTCCCTACATACCCCCCCTCCGCCTCCAGGACAGACCCCCCCTCTTCCGACATATCCCTTTCCACTCTTCCGCTTTCTCTCCTACAGACGCCCCCTCCGCTCTCACAGACACCCCCCCCCCACTCCGACAGACCCCCCCCCCTCCAAAACAGACCTCACATCTCTTTGGAACTCTCCTTCCTTTTTCCCGGAAGGGCGGTGGCCCTGGGCTCTCTTTTAGTCGTTTACCCCCGGAATCGACGGCTCTAGGGCCAGCGAAAGCATTTGCGATAAATAACGAAGTCGAATAGGGCCGGCGGAATTATTGTTGAGGATGTCTCGAGCGAAACGCTTTCGTTTCAGAATCCCACCAGCCCTTTGGGCGTGAGTGGTTTAGCGAGCTCTCTCTGTTCTCAACCCCCCTTCTTCCCCTTCGGGGAGGGGTTTACCCCTCCCCCTACCCCCTCCCCCTGGACCTGGAGAGGGCGGGCCGAGCGTCGTCAGGGGGGCCTTTTTTGACTCCTGGGAGAGCCAAAAAACGACGACCCTCACGAGGATTCTGGCCCCGTCGGGGGGATGAGGTTTGGCGCCTCTGCTCTTCTTTGAAGCCAAAATCGTTGATTTTACTACGGTTTTGGCCTCATTTTGGCGTCCTGAGGGGGCCGCGCTCATCTTCCTTCATAGCAAAATCATTGCTTTTACGAAGGATTTTGGCCTCATGTTGTTCTTTTCAGGGGGCAGCTCTCATTTGCGCTTCTGAGGAGGTCCCAAGCGGCGCCAGGATGGCCCCAAGAGGCTCCCAGGAGGCTCCCAAGAGGCCTCCAAGAAGCCGCCCAGAAGCCCCCCAGCGGTCCCACGAGGCCCCCAAGAGGCTCCCAAGAGGCCTCCAGAGGCCCCCAAGAGGCCCCCAAGACGCCCCCCAGAGGCCCCCAATAGGCCCCCAAGAGGCCCCAAGAGGCTCCAAGAGGCCCCCAAGAGGCCCCACGAGGAGCCCGAACGACTCACACCAGGCCGACCCCTCCCCCTACCCCCTCCCCCTGGGCCTGGAGAGGGAGGGCCGAGCGTCGTCAGGGGGGTCGTTTTCGACTCCTTGGAGGGCTAAAAAACGACGACCCTCACGAGGATTCTGGCCCCGTAAATCATTGATTTTTCTACGGCTTTGGCCCCATTTGGGCGTCCTGAGGGGGCCGCGCTCATCTTCCTTCATAGCAAAATCATTGAGTTTACGAAGGTTTTGGGCTCATTTTGTCCTTTTCAGGGGGCAGCTCTCATCGGCGCTTCTGAGGAGGCCGCGCGAGGCCCCAAGATGGCCCCAAGAGGCCCCCAGGAGGCTCCCAAGAGGCCTCCAAGAGGCCCCCCGGAGGCTCCCAAGCGGCCCCAAGAGGCCCCCAAGAGGCCCCCAAGAGGCCCCCAAGAGGCCCCAAGAGGCTCCAAGAGGCCCCCAAGAGGCCCCACGAGGAGCCCGAACGACTCACACCAGGACGAGGGGCCCGAACGACTCACACCACGAAGAGCCCGAACGACTCACACCACAAGGAGGGGCCCGAACGACTCACACCAGGACGAGGCGCCCGAACGACTCACACCACGAGGAGCCCGAACGACTCACACCACGACGCGGGCCCCGAACGACTCACACCACGAGGAGCCCGAACGAGTCACACCAGGAGGAGGGGCCCGAACGACTCACACCAGGATGAGGGGCCCGAACAACTCACACCACGAGAAGCCCGAACGACTCACACCAGGACGAAGAGCCCGAACGACTCACACCACGAAGAGCCCGAACGACTCACACCAGGAAGAAGGGCCCGAACGACTCACACCAGGACGAGAAACCCCAAACGACTCCAATCACGAGGAGCGCTTTCTCTCCCTCCTCCTCCGCCTCGTCCTTCGCCCGCTCCCCCCACAAGGAGGATGTACAAGGAGGCGGGAGGAAGGAGGAACAGGGGAGATATGCGGGGCCAAGCGGACACACGCCTGAAAAACACGACTGTCGGCATGCTTCGCAAGAGTTGCAGCTGTGAGATGGGCTGGTGGGGATACGCGAAGCGTAAAGAATTTGTTGAGGATGTCTCGAGCGAAACGCTTGTTTTGTGTTATAGTTTGTCCTCTCCTGGGGACCAGAATTCAAACGGTCTCTCAAGTGAAATGCTTGTTTTCACGTGCCCAGGTCTTGAGGATGTCTCGAGCGAGACGCTTGGTTGCACGCCTCCAGGTTACCCAGGCAGATGTCTAGCGCCAGGATTTGTTGAGGATGTCTCGAGTCTCGAGCGAGACGATTGGTTTCACGCGTCCTCGTCGCCCAGGCGGATGTCTAGCATGAGGATGTGTTGAGGAAGTCTCGATCGAGATGCTTGTTTGCACGTGTCCAGGTTGCCCAGGCGGATGCCTAACATGAGGATGTGTTGAGAATGTCTCGAGAGATACGCTTGTTTTCACGTGTCCAGGTCGCCCAGGCACTCAGCATTGCAACTTGGCACGTTCCCTGGCACGTTCCGTGGCGCGTCCCGTGGCGAGTCCCCCTGGCACGTCGCGCGGCACGTCCCCTGGCACGTCCTGTGGCACGTCCATTGGCACGTTCCGTAGCGCGTCCCCTTGGCACGTCCCGCGGTGCTCCTCGCACGTCCCCTCTGTCAATTAGCTATGGGGCAGCTACTATGTGTTCAGGCAGCTCGAGCTTAAGGTCCAGATCAGTTCGGTCAGGACTCGAATACAAAGGAGGATTCGATCCACGACGCTATAGAGCACAATCGCGGCATGGCACATCGCAATTCAGCACTGCGCAGCACAGCACAGCCCTCGGCAGGGGACATCAAGATCGGTACACTCAGCATTGCAACTTGGCACGTTCCCTGGCACGGTCCGTGGCGCGTCCTGTGGCGAGTACCCCTGGCACATCGCGCGGCGCGTCCCCTGGCACGTCCTGTGGCACGTCCATTGGCACGTTCCGTAGAGCGTCCCCATAACACGTCCCGCTGTGCGTCCCCATGGCACGCCCCCTGCCATGTCGCCTGGCGCGTCCCTTGGGACGTTCCGCGGCGCGTCCTCCTGGCATGCCTCCCTGTCAATTAGCTCTGGGGCAGCTACTATGTGTTCAGGCAGCTCGAGCTTAAGATCCAGATCAGTTCGGTCAGGACTCGAATACAAAGGAGGATTCGATCCACGACGCTATAGAGCACAATCGCGGCATGGCACATCGCGATCCAGCACGGCGCAGCACAGCACAGCCCTCGGCAGGGTACAACAAGATCGATACACTCAGCATTGCAACCTGGCACGTTCCCTGGCACGTTCCGTGGCGCGTCCCGTGGCGAGTCCCCCTGGCACGTCGCATGGCGCGTCCCCCGGCACGTCCTGTAGCACGCCCATTGGCACGTTCTGTAGCGCGTCCCCTTGTTGGCACGTCCCGCGGTGCGTCCCCATGGCACGCCCCCTGGCACGTCGCCTGGCGCGTCCCTTGGGACGTTCCGCGGCGCATTCTCCTGGCATGTGCCCTGTCAATTAGCTCTGGGGCAGCTACTATGTGTTCAGGCAGCTCGAGCGTAAGATCCAGATCAGTTCGGTCAGGACTCGGATGCAAAGGAGGATTCGATCCACGACGCTATAGAGCACAATCGCGGCATGGCACATCGCAATTCAGCACGGTGCAGCACAGCACAGCCCTCGGCAGGGTACATCAAGATCCTTACACTCAGCATTGCAACCTGGAACGTTCCTTGGCACGTTCCGTGGGGCGTCCGTTGGCAAGTCCCCGTGGCAGAGGCCCCAAGAGGCGCCCAACAGGCCTCCAAGAGGCTCCCAAGAGACCGCCACGAGGCCCCAAGAAACTCTCCGAGGCACCCAAGACGCTCTAAGAGGCGTCCGGGACCGTCAAAAGAACCCCAAGACGCTCTAAGAGGCCTCAACTGGGGGGCCCCTCCTCTGTGTGCTGCCCACTTCCCTGATCGAGGCAATTTGTTAATTTTGGCATCGTTTCTGGATGGGCGGGTGGGGTTACGCGAAGCGTCTAACCGTCCGGGGCCCTTCGGAGCCCTATTCGATGGTCCTCCACTACTACTTCAGATCTTCTGAATCACAATGCACACACACAGGCACACACTTTAACACAACCTGCTTCTGCAGGATGATCTTATTCACAACAAGCCTCGTGGGCGGGACGACATCATAATCCGCATCCCGGCCTCTACGTAGACCGCCACCTCGACTACAAAATGGAAGTGGACATGCTCATGCGTGTTCCCCCAACCCCCCGTGGCCGCCAGTCCGAGCAAGAATCCCCTCCAGTCGCTGGTGCCCCGTTGCTGCCTCTGGCTGTCCCGCCCCCCCCCCCCGCGGCACCACCGCCCTGAGGCGACGCTCCGCCGAAGCCGCCGTGTGGCGACGGGGCGCCGAAGCCGCCGCCCACCGCCGGTCGCGGGCCTGGCCCCGCGCGCGCGTGCCCAGCGGGCCGGGGCAGCCAGGGACGAGCGCGACGCGCATCCTCCCATTCCTCCTCCTCCCTTCTCCCTCCTCCTCCAACCGCCGCCCCAGCTCGAGGTTCTGGGCACGGATACCGGATTCGAGGAGACGTGAGACTTCGCAAAGCGGCGAGCGCCGATGATTGATCTTTTCTTTCTGTTTGGAACACTGATGTTGCAAAACCATGCGCTTTTCATAATATTCGGTGCATACGGTATACGACTCTGAAACACTTGATTCCGGCATGCGCGCGCGACGACGCGCGCGTGGCCACTTCGTTTCATCGGCTGCAAGAAATCATTGCGACAGCAAGCGCGCAAGGACGGTCGAATGATTTCGACACGCGCGCAGGCACGTTTGGCAGCATTTGATGAACATGTTGGGAAACCGATCGTTTTCCGAGAGTTTTCTATAGTTGCCTGCGGATTCGCGTAGAATACGGCACCCTCAGGCTCAACGACCTGGTAATATCCCCGAGTCTTCGGAGAGACGTTGTCTGACTCTCTTCTTCGTCTGCCAACCATCCTCTGGGAAATCGGAGATACTGATCAAAATGTGCCGGGCCTACTTCGTACACCCTCGATTGGCTGCCGTCGAGCGCCTTCCGAATGATAAGACCACCTGGCAGGTCAAGAACCATGCCGAGCTGCCTGAGCATTTCCACTGGAAGCGGCAAGAGCGCATCGAAGGCAATGAAATGCACCGTGAAAGTACCGCAATTCCTCGCCACGGCGACCGGCAAAGTTCAGCTGGAGAGAAACTTGGTAGATCGTCCGACGCCCATGGCTTCCATTTCGAGAAAAAGTATTTGCACGGGCTTCAAGCCGCAGGTAACTCCAAAATATCTCACAAGGTTCCCAAACGGATCTTTGCCACAAACTCCACGCTGAGCTCTTGTATCTACTAAGCTGAACCAAATCTGGACCTGACGTCCAGAGAACCTGTCACCAGTGTCAGCAGCAGCAAAGATAGGAAAGGGTAAAACAACTAATTCCAGACTGGGTCGTAGGTTCCCATTGACATACGTCGTGCAGAGCGTCATCTGCTTCGAGAGGAGCAGCCTGGAAACCGCCGAAGCCTGCCTGTCGGTTGCGTCCTCGCTCTTCTGGCTCGTTCGCACAATCCCGAGACGAGTGTCCCAGTTTCCCACGTCGGGCACATCTCGAGCGGCTCATCAGTTTACTTTTGGTCCAACGCTTCGGTCGAGCATGTCCGATTCGTTTCCCTCGACGTTGCCCCTTGCGGGAGCCTTTTGGCCTTGCCTTCTGGAGGGAAAAATTTAAAGAAGCCTCGTCCGAGTTTCCGCTTGTGTGAATATTGTCGCACCTGACTGTGGTTGTCGTAGACGGCGACAGCGTCGTCTGCATCCAAAATCACATTCTCGGGCATGTCTCCAGCTACGACAAGTACGTTTGCTTCGCCCATATACCTGGGAACCGCAATCAAGACGTCGTCTTCCTCGTAGGACGGGCAAAATACACAACGACTGTTCCATGAGAGTCCCATGGAAGTCATCTTGGTCAGGCCCCTGGTCATCATGCCCGTCTTCGTATCCTTGGTACCCGACGAAGTGCGAGGCGGAATTCATGCCATGTGTACTGCGACCGCCTTTTATATGAGGGTAGTGACCGCTCAAGCTTCCGAAGCTTCTCGCACACCACTGCAAAGCCAGATGGTCCCTCAATCCAATGTTCGACCGTATCCCAAGCGGCTTCCCTGAACTCTGATTCTCTGAATAAAAAAAGCAAACAACAACAACAACAACAACAAAAACACTTCCCATTTCAACTCTTCCTGTAGGACCACGTGCTTCTAGAGTTCTCGGGAGAGCACCCGCTTGCGAACAATATCATTTGCGAGGGGATCGTCTCGCTTGCGCTTGGCGTCGTCAGAATAGGAAATCCTTTGAACAGTTTTCGGCGTCCTGCGGTCTTGATGCTCGGCGCAAGCCTTCTTGCTATATTTGACCACAACCTGCCCGATGTCCTCTGAGGACAGCGGGCCTTCGGTGAATTCGTTGGTCATGAAATTGTGGTCATATTTGGCGTAGCGGCCAAATGAGGTACAGTTCCTTCATGCAAAGATCTCAACGAATACCATGATTGTTTGTCCATCCCAGGTGGGAGGTATGTCGTTTGGTATACTTGGGGCTTCTAGTTGTGCAGGATATTGTCCCCTCTGGCGATCAGAAGATCTGGCACTGGTAGCTCCCCAAAACAAGTCGGAACGATCGGCGTGAACGGCGTAGCGTGCCCCCGCAGAGGCGTGTTCAACCGAGCTGGTGCAGCCGGCGAACCACGGCCCCGCGCGTTCCAACCTGATGAGGATGACTGCGTGTTGGGCTGTGTCTCCGTCCAGGGTTTCGAAAGCCAGCGGGCCCAGTCTTGATCTGACCAGCCCATTTCGTCATCGCCGTCCCGGGGAACGTCTTCTCGCTCTCCGCCTCCTGCCCAAGGAGCCTGTCCTGGTTGTAACCAAAGGTCATCCGGAAACTCATACTCGAGAAGCTGAGCGTCGTCTGGGCGATCCACGGCGGCGCTCGGCGCAAGAGGGTGGGAAGCGGGAAAAGCGGGAGAATCATACAGAATATGTCATGAGTCGAGTGACAGAGGAGTCGGCCTGACTCCCCCCGTGGATCGGAACCGCCTCGCTGCCACTATGGAACGTACGGGAGTAACTGTATGGAATACAGAAAGACACGAAGTACCAAGTACGGGAACCCGTGCGATGAGAGAGCACATTCTCTCCTTTCACGGGGGCCAGCTTTTACGGGGGCCAGGGCGCGCCCGTCGACCGCGCGCCAGGTGACTCATGGTCCCTTGAGAGCCACGGCGGCACACAAGGGAGGTGGGACGGAGGCGAAGGAGGAGGAGAGGCTGACACAGGCATGACAACCACAGCCCTCCTTTCTCAAACCGGGGGTTTTGCTGAATACCCCCATGCACTTTATCCATGACCACACCTTGCCTAGAGGCCTCCCAGACGGGGTCCGAGCAGATGGGGTCGGAGGAAATCGTCGCATCGCCGATGCATCGGCGACGTCGGCGATGCAGCGGCAACGTCGGCGTAGAGAAGATCGGGCTCCACATCGAAACGCATCGCCGATGAGCCGGCGATTCGGCACGATCCTCCGACCCCATCTGCTCGGACACCATCTGGGAGGCGTAGATTGTCGCATGCCTGCAAGCTCGACGTACCCAGCTTCGAAATTATCCCTCCATATGCTTGACAAGTCCAAGGCGAGAACAGTCTTGGGGATGCGCCCTCAGAAACTGAGGGAACCCTTCAGATCGACATCGAGATACTGTGATGCCAATCATATGGATAGGGATACAATGCTTACGCGGCAGGCAAACATCCCTCGCAGGAAGCCCAATCCTGGAAGCCCGCGCGCGAGATGCACATGGGAGGGACGTACCAGCTTCTTCAACGGCCGCGGGAAGTCACCGCGCAGCGCGCGGAGCGACGAAACCCAGGGTGTTAAAGCACCCAGGGCCCAAGGTGCCCCACGCCTTTCGCTCCATTTGGGAGCTCCTGGGGCCCTCTGGGCGTCGGCAGGGGTGCTCTGGAGGCCGTCTGGGCTCCCCCGAAAATCCTGGGAACACCTTGACCCATGGGGCACGTCTGGCAACACCCGATCGATGTTTCGCGCGAGCTGCGGTTACCGGCCCAGGCCGCCGACCCAACCCCAGGCAACGCCACGATTCGTGCTGACGTCCGAAGTGTCGATTGTCTTGGGTTTTTCCTAGGACCCCCAGTAGCGCCCGTCATCGCCCAGGAAAAACGCGCTCAAAGGGATTTGGGACGGGAGGGTGCCTTGCAGCGTCGTTGGTACATCTTGGATTCACTCTGGCCCTGCTTCTCCCCTCCCCCTCGGATAGAACGGAAGGGCGGGGGGGGGAGAGCGGCAGAAGGGGGGCTTACGAATCGGCTCCCTCAGCTGGTCTCTCCGGCGCCTCCCAGCGCCGAAGGCGCCACTGTACCGAGGAAGGCGCCCAGCGGCGGGGCAGAAATCGCCTGCCTGCAGCAGCTTTCGGCCCCCCCTTTCCCTTGAAGTACTATCTGGGACCTGTTCTCAAACGGGAGCATACCGCAGACGGACCTACCCGGTCTCCGACCATGTACTGCGCCGACCGCCACGGCCGCGTTGGCTGTAGACGCATCCACTCCGAATGTGTCTGTAAATGTAACGACGCTCATGATGATGACGATGATGATGACGATGACGACGACGACGATGACGATGACGAAGACGACGACGACGAGGACGACGACGATGGCGATGGCGATGGCGATGACGTCATTGTCATCGTCATCGTGTCCACAGACGGCTCTGGCTGGAACGAGGGAACAGTATTTGGCAAAGCCCCAGATGCGAGCAGAACGAAGAGCAGGCAGACTTTGCCCTTACCCTCTGAACAGGGACCGACCGTCCCAGCATTCCTATAGTCCTACCTCGAAATGTTCTTAGAACCCAAGAACAAAACAGTGCTCTTAGAACATGAGCCCGATGTGTTAAAACAAGACAGCCTCCGCCAGAAATGTTCTAAGAACATTTCGTGGGAACCACAAGCGGTTCTGAGTTCTGAGAACTTTGTTTGGTAGGGCTATAGGCGAGCCAGGACGCTTCGCCACTGCTTAAACCCTTCCCCTGCACCCTCTCGACGATGACGACGACGACGACGAGGACGACGACGACGATGGCGATGGCGATGACGTCATTGTCATCGCCATCGCCATCGAGCGGGACCGACCTGGGAGGGCCCCTGCGCCCGCAGACCCGGCGACAGCGCCTGCTGCGAAGAGCTGGCGACGCCCGGCTCTCGGGGCTCGGCGCCCGCCCGCGCGGCCCCCCCGCGGCGCACGGCTGCCCTCCGACCCCCCAGCCTTCTGCGTCCGACCCGGCCCTCCTCTCGGGCGTCGCCAGCAGTGCCCCTGGCCCAAGGCCGGAGCAACAACAAAAAACACGTAGATCTAAACCTCGCTGCGGTGCAGGTCTCGGCCGGACGGGATAGAGAGACGACGGCATCCAGGGTCCTGTGCTCCCCAGGAGGGGGCGTCCCCGACGAGAGCCCTGGGTGCTCAAGAGCATCCAACGAACATCTGCCACGAACGTGCTAGGGCGAACTCGGCGCCCCCCCCCCCCCCCCTTGGGAGAGGCTCCCCAGGCCCCCCCCAGTAGATCCAAGGAGGCCCTCCAGAGCACCCCCTCACGAGAATGATGGGCCTGTCTTCCACCACCACCACCAGAAGTTGGAGGGGGGAGAGGGGGTCCTCCTCCCCCTCTTCTTCGTCCTCCTCCTCACCCTCCACCTCCTTCCCCCCCTCTACTCTATGGTGGCGGTGGTGGAAAACAGGCCCATCAGCAAAGCGG